TGGGGGGGAGAGACAGAGACAGAGACAGAGACATTGATTGGTTGCCTCCCGCACAACCCCAACCCAGGCCGGGGTCAAACCCCAGACTCCTTTGTTCACAGGCCAACGCTCTAACTGCTGAGCCAAACCAGCCAGGGCATGAGTTCTATTCTTTATAATAGACCACAAAGCACTTCCAAAGTTGTTCTAGAGAAGTATTGAACCTGAGGATGGGGTATGGGAACTCCCAAATCTGCTGGCCAGGCAGAAGTGCAGGTCACCTAGGAACCCCATTTGTGGCTGGTGTCTAAAGCAGGACTGAGCCCTTAACCTGTGGGGTCTGTGCTAACTCTAGGAGTTAGTGTCAGAACTGAATTAAATTGCTGAAAACCTAGTGCTGTTGGAAACTTAGAGAATTTCTTGATATAGAAAAACTATGCAGATTTCTTATCAGAAAAATAAAATTTGGTGTCTAAAGTGGGATCAGAAAACACCGCACAATGAGTCATGGCCAAGGTCTCAGGGGTCTGCAAGTAACCCCTCTAGGTGATTCCAGACTGTTCTGCCCCACCACAGCACCCAGCCTGGGTTCTCAAATAGGGAGAGGTCTGTGGGAGGAGCAGGGACCACCAAGTCCACTGAAAAGGAACACCAAGGAGGAAAAAATATAACCAGGAGAATGTGGTATCACAGGAGGGAAGAGTACAGAGTACAGCAGGAAGGACTGAGTGTTCCATAACAGATATTGTTGAAATGTTCAGTGGGGAAACTGAAAAACTAGATCCAAGAACATGGGGGCCCACAATGCTCCTGAACAGACTTTCAAGGACATAAAGTCAGGACAGTGGATTGGGGGAGGCTGTAATTGTGTTTGGGGAGGATACATGAGGCTTTAGGGATGCTGACACTCTCCTATCTCTTGACCCAGATGGTATCTACACAATCTTTACCATTCTTCATTAAACTGTACATTTACTTTTACAAATTTTTCTAAATATGCTATGTTTGACAACAAAAGGTGAGAAAAGAAAGATCAGGAGGTAGGCAAATAGAGAAGGCATGTGTAGACCTCCCTCCTCTTTATAGAAGTTTGGATGAGCAGGCCCTGACGCACTCTGAGCACCAGCTAAGGAGAATGGGAGCCCCTGGCAGGCTTTTGGTGGTTTGACAGGAATGGAAGGAGAGGGATGAGGTGAGAGAGGAGGCAGGTTGCATTAATCAAGGTAAACACAGGTAAAACACATGAGTGTGTGAGCTCCTAATATACAGAGAAAAACAAATATAGCAGAATTAGTCCCATAGATTCATCAAAAAAACAAAAACAAAAAACAACTGACATCAACACAATCTGAGTGCATCAAATTATGCTTATATAAAATATATTCTTTGTATCATCCTTATTTACCATTTTCATGCATATTTGTGTCTACACAGGTTCCTGAAATAACACATTTTTCTAAAACTATACCAATCACATCCTACTTCATTCATCAGTTGGCTCTATTGGGGACAAAAACACTCCTGCCACCTTGTTAGAGAAGCACACCAGGGGCCAACCCTCCATAGTAACTTGATGAGCTGCAATCAGCCCTGAAAAACTCACTTTTGCTCCCCTCCCAGAGAACAAATGACCTGAGCGCCCTTCAATAAGCACCATCTCTTCAAGTTCACATAACTCACATACCCTTTTGCTAGATAAGCATACATCTTCCTCTGCTCTGAAAGAGTGGAAACTCTGAAAGGATCCCAAAAGATGGAAAGGTGTTCTCAAGTGATATACCACCACCCAGGACTTGCCCCAGCTGACACCATCCAGAAGACAAGGATGGATATTAACTTCCCAGTGAAAAAGATGCCCTTTGATATGATCGGATGATATAGTAGTCAATAAGCAGAAAGTCTTTCATGATTAAAACAGAAAAATCAGCCCTGGCCAGTTTGGCTCAGCGGTTAAAGCGTCGGCCTGCGGTCCGGAGAGACCCGGGTTCGGTTCCCGCTAAGGGCACGTACTTCAGTTGCAGTTTGTCCCCGGCCCTGGTTGGTCGTGCAGGTGGCAGCCACTCGATGTGTCTCTTCACGTCGATGTTTTTCTCTCTCTCTCTCCCTTCCTCTCTCTCCCTCCCACTCTATCTGTACAAAAAAATGGAAAAATATCCTCGGGTGAGGAAAAAAAATAAAAATAAAACATAAAAATCAAAATTTCAGAACGTTTACTAAATAGGTATTTCTGGAGATAAAACCCAGTATGAATTAGTAAGAAATCTGAAGTATGAAGCCTTTTAACAGATTTGTCTCTATCAAATAAAGAGATCAGACAGAATTAAGGGAGTCAAGTCAACCCTGGAAGAAGTCTACAAAAGAATCATGTGGTTGAGCCCTGGCCGGTTTGGCTCAGCGGTTAGAGCGTCGGCCTGCGGTCCTGAGAGACCGGGGTTCGGTTCCCGCTAAGGGCGCGTACCTCGGTTGCAGTTTGTCCCCGGCCCTGGTCGGTCATGTGGGTGGCAGCCACTCGATGTGTTCCTTTCATGTCGATGTTTCTCTCTCTCTCTCTCTCTCTCTGTTCCTCTCTCTCCCTCCCACTCTATCTGAACAAAAAATGGAGAAATGTCCTCAGGTGAGGATAAAAAAAAAAAAAAAGAATCATGTGGTTGATAGTGACAATACTTACATGTGCTAAGATGAATATTTCTGACTGGCAGCAGCAACTACTGGTTTGAGGTGCCTTAAACACATTATCTCATTTCATTCTTAAAACAACCCTATAAAAAATATGTATTATCATCTCTACCAATGGTAGGGCTTTACCAACATAGGGCTCTAGATGACTTGCCCCAGGCCCTTATCAGCCACCGTGGACTTGAGCCCAGATAAGTCTGTCTGATTCAAAGCCCCTGGTCTCAACCTTCCCGACAGCTGCTCCTTTGCCAAATAAGTTTTCCTGCAGGTTTCATTCAGAGCCCAGCCAGGCCCCTCCCTCAACAACTATTTACAGAGGAGACCTTAGAAACACAGGGACCTAGGATACCAATGAACCTTGACCCCTGGAGGCAAGGACAGTGACCTTACCCGATAAAGCTTGCATTTTGTTTGGGGGAGGTTTATGAGGTTCTCTTTGCTATCTGTCTATTACACTATCAATTTAGATCACAACTCTGTAAGCATTTTCCTATGGATAACACAAACTTTATCTTAAAAATAGTTAAGACATTAAAACCTGTCACAAGCCCTGGCCAGCAGTTAGGGCTTTGGGCCTTTGGACCAAGGGGCCGAGGGTAAGATTCCAGTCAAGGGCACATATCTGGGTTGCAGGTTTAGTCCCCGGCCCTGGTCAGGGTTGTGCAGGGGCAACCAATGAATGTGTCTTGCTCACATCAATGTCTCTGTCTCTGTCTCTGTCTCTCTCGCTTTCACTCTCTCTATAAAACAAACAAAAAAAAGGACATGGACAACAAAGCTGGGGACAGGGTGGGGGTGATGGGGAGGAGGGTGTCAATGAGGTAAAAAAGGAGAAATATCTGTAACAAAAATAAAATTAAAAAATAAAAACAAAAATAAATAAATAAAAACCAAACCAAAAAAAAAAATCAATGAAAAAATATCCTCGTGAGGATTTAAAAAAAAACCAAAAACCTGTCACAAAAACTCAGACAAAATGCCTCTAGTATCTTGAGGTTTTAGAGTTAAATTTAAATTTAAATTACATTTTTCTCAGTGCTAATGCTGGGACAAAACCAACTGAGTTTTCAACTGATACAACTTTTCTAGTTCAGCTCTCCTCTTATTTTTCCTCCTAAAAGAGTGTGAACAAAACAGAGCGTATTGTGTCAGGAAGACCCTCAATGGAAGTGGCTCTGCCGGGCAAGGTGACCAGCTCTGGCCTCCTTCCCAGCTCCTTCACATGGGCCACACTTTCCATGGTGCTGCACACATCAGCACCAGCCAAAGAAAGAGGAGCTCGCCCAAGGGCAGCTGATCTCAGCGTTCTCCTCTCCTCTTGCCCTCTTAGTAGCTAAGGGGCCCACAGGGTTTTCCTCCCACAGGTATAGAAGGGTGAGGCAGCTTGACTGCTTTCCTGTGTTTCCCTGACTTATTCCCTCTGAGCTCTTGTACATGCTTAGCTGCAAAGAAATATCAAGAAAACCAAGTACTATTAAGTTTCCTATCTCATTCAGCACAGTAAGGACAAATAACACAAGTTCAGGAAAAGAGACCTAGGGAGTGACCAGCCCTGAGCTTCCCATGCTAATCAAAGGGTAAAGCTGTCAAACAGGGTTAAGAACCCAAATCACAGAGAGAGAGGGGACACATTTCCACTCAAGACTGATCAAACTACTAAACCTTCCTTCTAGTTCTCCCAGTTGCTTTGAATTTAATATTCCTAGGCTTTGCAAGTTATTGGCATTTTCATTCATATTTTTAATTCTTCCTGAATCAATACATTTGTAAATAGCTTTTGGGTCCAGCATGGAAAATCTGAAAAATGCATTAATTCCATTTTCTCTTTCTCATACTCTATACATATCAACATTACCAATATTCACAGAGGATCATGACATTGAAGTGACATCTTTATTTATTTTTTCTTTATTGATTTTAGAGAGAGAGAAAGAAAGGGAGAGGGAAAGAGAGACAGAAACATTGATGAGAGAGAACATCGATTGGCCGCCTCCTGCACACTCCCCACTGGGGATTGGGCCCACAACCTGACCGGGAATTGAACCAGCGACCTCTTGGTACATGGGTCGACACTCAACCACTGAGCCACCAGGCCGGGCTGAAGTGACATCTTTAAAGAGGTCAAAATAACTATTATGATGTTTCTACCATTAGAGAAGATTCCATTTATAGTTTCATTCAACCCAGTAATAAAAAATTATAAATTTCACAGTTGAATTACAATGGAATGTTTAAGTATTACAATGAACTGGAACCAAACACGACATGGAGAGGTTCCAACTTTCCCCTAGAGCCAAGTAGCAGCCGATCCTTTCACAGTCAAGAGAGTGGTCACTTGTACTCACTGTCAGGTTCCAGTTGATCTGGGGGATCCTCATGTGAAGGTTGAGACTGAACAGAATCAGCAAGACTCCAGTCACCACAAATGCACTGCAGCTCACAAACTCAAAAAAGTAGAGGCCTTCACATGGGGAGCACTCCATGATGGTCTCTATGCAGATGAACGCAATCAGGGCCAAAATCTAGGAAGAAGATTGAAAATATACATGTGTATGTATATTTAGTACTCATCCTCCAACACAAGTGCCTGCCACATTTAAATAATACTTACCACCACCACCACCATATGCAGCCACAGAGTTTTTTTCTGGGTACGGCAGTCATCACTGTCAGGAGTATGACCTGATTTAATTCTTACATTAAGGATGTAACAGTATGAAGCCTTTACCAAATTCCTCATGTGAACAACTAAGCCCCCACCACAGTACACTGTACACTGAAACCAGTCTGGTGCAGTGTAGCCCTTGTGAGGAAGCAAAAAGGAATGTTTCTACAATGTTTTTTATTCTATCTCTGTCACAAGTACATGGACACTCCCTAAACACATTTCTGATTTATAGTCTCTACCCTAAAAATAAGGCCCAGTTAATTAATTCATGAGTTATACATTTTAAAAGTTTATCATTGGACTTGATCACAAGAAGACAGACTGGCAGTTGATAAAAACATCATTAAATCTACCAATAATAGAATCAATTTCTTTGTGAAGGACCAAAGTAACTTTCTAGCAATATGTCCCAAGAGATTGGAGATCATAAAGTCAAACAGATTATCAGTGGAAGTTACCAGGTGTACTTTTTTAAAAAATATTTTTTTAATTGATTTCAGAGAGAGGAAGGGAGAGAGATAGAAACCTCAATCAGCTGCCTCTTGCACGACCCCTAATGGAGATCGAGCCAACAACCCTGGCATGTCCCTTGACTGGGCATCCAACCAGAGACCTCACAGTGCATGAGACAATACTCAACCAATTGAGCCACCCAAACTGGGCTAACAGGTGTACTTTTAAAGGAAGATTTCAGGAAAAGGAGGAAGCACAAACAATGGGCTGAGTTAACAGCCCTGTGATCAAGAAAAAGTGTGGTGGTCCCTCACCTAGAACCAGATCAGTCTTCAGCTTCTGGCCTCTATCTCACTTTTTTAACTGAGTACCTCATAACCTACCATATGTCAAGCCTACATCACAGCTTCTAGGACAAACCCCACCTCAAAGGTTAAGGAAGTATAAGGAGGCAGCTCAGTGGTTCCAGATTTGTCCTTAGAGCAAGTGACATAAGCATCACCAGGGAGCTTGTTAGAAATGCAGAATCTCTTCCTCCCCAGCTTGACCTACAGGGACAAAATCTACTTTTTCTTTTTAATAAGATCCTCAGATGATTCAAGTGTGGGAAGTATGGGAAGTACATGCTGTTCTGGGGTCCTTCTCTGCCTAATGTAGTCCCAGTCATGCCTTTCAATGGTCCGCTCAATGCCACCTCCTCCCCATGCCTTCCCTGATTGAGTCTCACCCTGCCAGACATTATCTGATTCCACCGTCTCCCAGGAAAGCTTGCTCATTTGTGATTGCATTCTACCCTTTATTATACTGACCATTATGCCTCCTAAGCTTTATCCCTCTCTATTTCCAATACACTAAGCAAAGCACACAGCCAGCAAATGGGGCTAGTTGAGCCACTAGAAATCCATAGAACAATTCCTGATGTATTTGTTAGCATCCCTACAGAACAGGAAAGGTGACTCTGTTTTTACCTTTTCTAACAATATGTGGCATTCTCACATTTCTACTATAATCAACACATTAAAAATATTGGTTTTTAAGCACACACTCTGTGCTTCTCCTAATGGCTCTCCTTATTCTGTACAGAACCACAGACTTTAATTCTCCACCTGAATTACAAGACTGACTTGCAAGCAATTCACAAAGAAATAGTTCATATAAGGGAAACTCCTAAACTTCTTTTTTTCACCCCTGTAATTGGATCTAACAATCTTGGGCAAAAAATAACACACTATACTGATGAGTTACAAATGTTTCTGGTATGCTAACTTCAACCATATTTGTGTGGGAAGGTAACATCTACATTCTTAAATATTAAAATAAAAATGGTAGACCAGCTTCAGAGCACCATGCAGGTTAGCTGGGTCCTCTGCTCTGACCATACTGCAGTCCAACATCTCTGCTATCTAATTCTGCTTGTCTCATGCCACACAGGTGCTAATCCTGAGACTACTTACCCAGTCTCTACCCAATCAACCGAAGAAAATTCTGAACAATAAACTTGGTCACACAGATCGGTAGCCATAGATGGAGAAGTAAAAGATGACAACAACTCTATTCTGACCAGCTGACATACCAGTTTCCAAAATGGCAGCAGAGTAAATGGAACCTACACAGACCATCTCCCAAGACCAAACTGGAATTACAACTAAAATAAAGACAAATCATCAGGAAAAAGCAACAGAAAAGCAGCTAGAGAGGAGCTATATAACCAGGGACAGGAAAAAAAGGACATTGAATCAAGCCTGGTAGGGTCTGTGGAGGAGAGAAAGGGCAGGTTGGGAGCAGTTTTAGCTGTGAGCAGCTCCCTCCGGGTTAAAATCCCAAGCTGGCTCCACAACACAGAGGGCCAGGACAGAGCACTAAATTAGCTACAGCCACTCACATTGGGCACTGGCAGAGGGAGGGCGGACTGGTTTGGAACTGTGGGGAGAGACTCAGGATTTGGAGAGCACTGGGAGTTTTTTTGCTGAATCACTCCCTCAAAGGACAGTAGACATATTACTCAAAAAGCCCCTTCCCAGAGCCCCGGGAAGAAGCAACAGTCCCTCCCTCAGAAATTTAACACCATCCAGCTAAACCAGAGAAATGCAAATTGAGGCGAGTTAACAGCCAATATCTGCCATACCCTCTGGAAATCATCTTACCATGAAAACCTGAGAAAGTTTTTCATTCAGTTGAGTGCTACAACCCAAGACTCATAAAGTAACTGAGACTAATAGCTTCCAGGCAAATAGCTAGAGGATAAGTGAACCTTTCCTGGGCTTGCAAATTTACCCAGGAAAGTACAACTTGACAGTGGTGTTTAATGTGAGTCCCCCTACATTCATCCAAACCCAGTAGAGAGAGCCACAAACAGAAGAACCCCAACACCCACAAAAAAAATTGGGCAGGCTCTAAACCCACTGAGATAGCCAAAATGGTGAAACAAAGAAACAAATCCCAAATGAAAGAACAAGAGAAATCTACTGAAGATGAGACAAATAAAATGCAGTTAAGCAAGTTATCAGAAGTAGAGTTCAGAGCAATGATAATGAGAAAGCTCAACAAAGTACAAATATAGAAATAATGACAACCAACCAACTGAAAATAAAGAATGACACAGCAGAAATAAAGAACACATTGGAAAGAATAACCAGCAGAGTATTGGAAGCTGAGGACTGGATCAGTGATTAGAAGACAGGGTAGAAAAAAATCAACCAATCAGAAAACCAAAAGAAAATAACAATTAAAAAACAGGAAGACAGTTTAAGAGAACTGTGGGACAACTGGACAAGTAATAATATTCACATCATAGGAGTCCCCAAAGAAGAAGAAAATGAGCAAGGCTTAGAGAATACATTCGAAGAAATAGTAACAGAAAACTTCCCTAATTTGGTGAAAAAAGAAGACATTCAAGTTCAAGAAGCACAGAGAGTCCCAAGTAAGAAGAACCCAAACAGGACAAGACACATAATAGTTAAAATGTCAAAAATTAAAGACAAAAAGAGAATTCCAAAGGCAGCAAGAGATAAGCAACAGGTTACCTACAAAGGAATCCCCATAAGGCTACCAGCTGACTTCTCAACTGAAACACTACCAGCCAGAAGAGAATGGCATGAAGTCATCAAGGTCATGAAAAGCAAGGATCTGAATCTGAGACTACTCTATCCAGCAAGACTATCATTCAAATTAGAAGGTCAAATAAAGAGCTTCGCAGACCAAAAAAAAAAAAAAAGCTAAAGGAATATATTACCAGCAAACCAGCACTGCAAGAAATGTTAAAAGGACTGCTGTAATTAGTAGAAGAAACAGGAAGAAAAATATAACCTCACTAAACAAAAATGGCAATAAATAAGTACATATCAATAATAACCTTAAATGCAAATGGATTGAACACTCCGATCAAAAGACACAGAGTAGCTGATTAGATAAGAAAGCATGACTCGTATATATGTTGTGTACAAGAGACCTACCTCACAACAAAAGACTCACATAGGTTGAAAGTGAAGGGATGGGAAGAAATCTTCGAAGCAAACAGAAAGGGGAAAAAGAGCTGGGGTAGCAATACTCATATCTGATCAAATAGATTTCAAAATGAAAGCCATAACTAGAGACAAAGAAGGTCAATACATACTATTGAAAGGATCTATCTAACAGGAAGATATAACCTTGATAAACATATATGCACCTAATATAGGAGCACCAAAATATATTAAAAATCTTCTGGAGGATTTCAAAGGAGAAATTGACAGCAATACAATCATAGCAGGGGACTTCAACACCCCACTGACATCACTGGATAGATACTCTAGACAAAAATTAACAAGGACTGGAAACTCTAAATGATGCACTAGATCAAATAGATTTAATAGATATCTATAAAGAATTATACCCCAAAACTGCAGAATTCACATTCTTCTCAAGTGCACATGGGACATTCTCAAAGACAGGCCACATGTTAGGACACAAACTAACTCTCTACAAGTTCAAAAAGATTGAAATCATATCAAGCATCTTCTCGGATCGCAATGGCATGAAACTAGAAATCAATTACAACAAAAACACGCAGAGACATTTGAACATATGGAGGATAAATAGCATGTTATTAAACAATGAATGGGTTACCAAGGAGATCAAGGAAGAAATTAAAAACTTCCTGGACACAAAAATTATGGGATGGAGTGAAAACAGTTCTGAGAGGGAAGTTCATAGCACTACAGGCCTACCTCAAGAAATAAGAAAATTTTCTAATTGACTATCTAAATTCACAACTTAAAGAACTAGAAAGCAAACAAAAGGGAAACCCCAGAGCAAGTAGAAGTAAAAAAATAGTAAAGATCAGAGCAGAAATAAATGACACAGAGACCAAAAAAACAATTCAAAAGATCAATGAAACAAAGAGCTGGTCTTTGAAAATATAAA